AAGAGAAGGAGGAGCGGAAAGAGAAGAAGAAGAGAAGGATGGGGAACGGAAAGAGAAGAGGAAGGAGGAGACAGGTGAAGGGAGCAGAGCCGAGGACAGGACGGAGAAGAAGGAGAAGAAGGAAGGGGGGAGGAAGAAGAAGAAAGAGAAGAGAAAGGAGGAAGAAGAAGGAGAAGAGAGATGAGAAAGATGAGGGAGGAAAAGAGAGGAAGCGGGAGAGGAGGGAGGAAAAGCGGGCGGAGAGAAAGGAGAGGGGGAAGAGAAAGGAGAGGAAGACAGAGGAGGGCCAGGATGTGAAGAAGAAAGAAAAGAAGGAGAAGAAGGAGAGAAGGCGGAGTGAGCAGCCCTTAAGCCCTGGTCATTCAGGGAGAAGCATCGAGGTGAGGAATGAAGGCTTTAAGAGCCCTGATCATACTGCAAAAGGCTCTGATCAAGGAGCGAAATCCTTAGCCGATGCGCTGAAGAGTCCTGACGCTTTAAAGAGTCCTGACGATCCAAAGACCCCTGGAGTCGAGTTAAAGAATCCTGGGGATTTCAAGAGTCCCGGGGAGGGTGTAAGGAGCCCTGTAGAGGGATTGAATAATGCTGAGCAGCCAGAAGGAAGCCCAGATTTGCTTAGAGGGAGTGTTGATATGTCCGTGAATATGGATGGTTGCTCTAAAGGAAGCCCGGGTCAGTCCTTAGCGAGTATGGCCAGTCCTGGGGTAAATAGTGTGGAGGAGGGAGAGAAGAAGGGGAGTGTGGAAGGGCGGGGGGAAAAGAGCGAGGAAGGGAAGGAGGGGAGGAGGAAGGAGAAGGGTAAGGAGGAGAAGGAGAAAAGGAGAGAGGGGAAGAGGGAAGGGAGGAGCAAAGTGGAAATAGAGGAGGCTAGAAGGAGAGAGGAGAGGAGAGAGAGGAGGAGGAAGGAGAAGCGGGAGAGGAAGGAGGCGAAGAAGGGGGAAGGGAAGGCGGAAAATGAGGGGAAGGGGAAGAAATGTGAGGAGAATGAGGGTAAGGAGGTCGAGGGTAAGGTGGTTGAGGGTAAGGCGGTTGAGGGTAAGGCGGTTGAGGGTAAGGCGGTTGAGGGTAAGGCGGTTGAGGGTAAGGAGGTTGAGGGTAAAGGGGAGAAGCCAAATAGAGAAGAGGTGAGAGAAGAAGCGAACGAGGAGGGGAAGGAGAGATCGAAGGGTAGTGACGAACAGAAGAAGAAGGAGGGGGGGGATTGGGGGAGGGAGAAGGGAAAAGGAGAGGAGGGAAGAAGAGGTGGAGAAGGAGGAGGGTAGGGAAGAAGGGGGGAGGGAGGGAGGGAAGAGAGAAGAGAAAGGGGGGGGAAAGGTAGGGAGGGGAAAGACGGCGAGGGAAGAGGAGGAGAAAGCAGAGGAGACTGCAAGGGAGAAGCCAGAGTCTGCTTTTGAGTCGACCTCAAAAGCAGACTGCCGATGGAGCATCCAGAGGAGAAAGCGGAGGGGAAAGCAGGGAGGGAATCAAAGGAGAAAGCAGATAAGAACGCGGCGGGTAAACTAGAGGAGAAAGCGGAGGGGAAAGCCGGGGAGGATGCAGAGGAGAAACCCGATAAGACAGCGGAGGGGAAAGCAGAGGAGAAAGCAGGGGAGAAAGCAGAGGAGAAAATGCAACTAGTGACAGCTGAGCACAATGAGAAGAAATTCTGCTGTGATGGCGATGGGGAGGAGGCAGTAATTGGACAAAAGTGTGCTGCCACGCCTCGATACGCGATCCAAAGAAGGGAGAGTGAGCTTCTGGTGCTTGGAGTGGATACCGCTGATGATGCCATGAGGCGGGGTGAGTTGTCGTGTGTCACAAGAGAGCCTGCCTTTGAGTCGACTCAAAAGCTTTTGGTGCTTGGATCGGATGCTGCTGATGCCAAGAGGCAGGGTGAGTTGTCGTGTGGCACAAGAGAGGAGCTTCAGGCAAGCACGAGCAGAGAGAGCAACCCGAGAGAGGAGCTTCAGAGGCTAAGGGACGGGGAAGGGGAAGCGAGTAAGGAAAGAAGAGGACGGAAAGAGGACGAGCGGCAAAGGGAGGAGAGGAAGGAGGAGGGGAGAGGGAGCAAGGAGCATGATGAAGACCGTCTAAGAGAAACGAGCTCGGGTGGTGAGGGGCAGCAAGAGGCGCAAGTCGCGGGGGTGAAGGGTGGTATAAACGAAGGTGTGAGTAAAGACGAAGTGGTGGAAGGGGTGGCAGCAGCAGGAGAGACAGGGCGTGTGAAAGAAGGGGAGAAGGGAAAGGGAGGGATTAAGGGGAGAGGAGAGGAGGGGGGAGAAGAGGAGGTGGGGGATTGGAAGGAAAGGTGGGTGGGGATGTGGCGATGGTAGACGTGGGAATGAGGGAGGAGGGGCGAAGGAGGGTGGTGAGAAGGCTGGCGAAAGTGCTGCTGGTGCTGGTGCTGTTGCTGCTGCTCCTGCTTCTCCTGTGATTGCTGCTGCTGCTGCCGCTGCTACTGCCGCCACTGCGACTGCTGCCTCTTTTGCTGCCGCCTCTGCTTCTGCTGCCGCTGCTACTGCTGCTGCTATTGCTTCTGCTGCCTCTGATTCTGCTCCGGCTGCTTCTGCTCTGGCTGCTTCTGCTTCTGCTGCTTCTGCTCCGGCTGCTTCTGCTCCGGCTGCTTCTGCTCCGGCTGCTTCTGCTCCGGCTGCTTCTGCTCCGGCTGCTTCTGCTCCGGCTGCTACTGGTACTGCTGTTCCAGTAACTACCACTGCACCTGCTGGCACTACTGCTCCTGCTTCTCCTGCTGGCACTGCTGCTCCTGCTGGCACTACTGCTCCTGCTGCTCCTGCTGGCACTACTGCTCCTGCTGCTCCTGCTGGCACTACTGCTCCTGCTGCTCCTGCTGGCACTACTGCTCCTGCTGCTCCTGCTCGCACTGCTGCTCCTGCTGCTCCTGCTGGTGATCCCATTGTGGCGACCCGCGGGCCTGCTGCTGTCCCTGTTGTTGCACCTCCCACCCATGCAGTAGCTGCTACAGCCGAAACCCCTGCTACAGCTGCAACCTGCGCTACAGTTGCACCCCGCGCTACAGCTGCAACCCCTGCTACAGCTGCAACCCCTGCCACTGCTACAGCTGAAGCAGATGCCCCTGCTGCTGCCTCTGCTGCTGCACCTGTCCCTGCCCCTGCCCCTGCCCGTACCCCAGCTCCTGCCATTGCTCCTGCTGCTGCCTTATCTGCTCAATCCCCCACCGCAGCTGGAGCCTTGAAGTCTGGTCCCGAATCCGCTGTTCCCACTCCTGTGAATGTTTATGCTGCTCCTCCTCCTGCTCCTCCTCCTGCCCCTCCTCCTGCTTCTCCTCCTGCTCCTCCTTCTGCTTCTGCTCCTACTGCTCCTCCTACTGGTTCTGCTCCTGCTGCTTCCGCTCCTATTGCTAATGCTGCTACTGCTCCTACTGCTTCCGCTCTTTCTCCTCCTCCTGCTGCTGCTGCTGCCGCCGCTCCTGCTGCTCCTCCTCCGGCCCCTGCTTCTGTTCCTGCTCCTGCTACCTCTGGGAGTGCTGCTCCTCCTGCTCTTCCTAGTGCTCCCGCTGCCTCTGGTGCTGCTCCTACTCTAGAAAATCCTCATTCTACTGCTCTTCCTGCCGCTGCTCCTCCTGCTGCCTCTGCTCCTGCTGTTTCTGGTGGTGCTGCTGCCAAATCTCCTGCTGAGCTCAGTCTGACAGAATCAAATCCTTCCACGGCAATATCATTGCCGTTGGCAGCATCTGCACCGGCAGTAGCATCAGTGTCGGCTGTAGCATCGGCACCATCATCACCAGCTGTAGCATCGCTGCCCAGTGTACCAATCGCAGCAGCTGTAGCACAGGGGGAGACTGTGGGCAAGACTGCTGCAGCTGTTGCGGCAGCCAAAATTTTATCCTCTAACGGGGGGGCTGATGCTGCTGCACATGATAAAGCTGCGGGAAATGCTTCTGCAGATGTTACAGCAGACAGCATTTTATCCTCTGACGGGGGGGCCTATGCTGCAGCAGGAAATGGTAGAACAGTCACTGCTGCTGCAAGTGGTGCGGTTAAGCAAGCTGCTGCTACAAAGGATGCTACAGCTTCTGCTGCTACAAAGGATGCTAGAGCAGCTGCTGCTACAAAGGATGCTAGAGCAGCTGCTGCTACAAAGGATGCTACAGCAGCTGCTGCTACAAAGGATGCTAGAGCAGCTGCTGCTACAAAGGATGCTACAGCAGCTGCTGCTACAAAGGATGCTACAGCAGCTGCTGCTCCTAGCCTTTCTGCTGCTGCACCAGATGCTGCTGATGCTGGTGCTAGAGCTGCTACAGCTGCTACATCCACTACTGCCGCCACAGCTGGTGCAGGGAGTGGTTTAGTGAAGAGGGTGGGTATCTTGACACCTGCAGCAGCGACAGCTAAGACCGTTACTACAGCCTCCACAGCTGCTGCTGTTGCTACAGCTGCAGCTGCTACAGCTGCAGCTGCTACAGCTGCTGCTGCGGCTGCCACTGGTGCTGCTTCTGCCGCGATCTTTCCAACTTCAGTAAGAGCTGCTGATTGCTTATCAACAGCAATGGCTACACCTGTTACTGCTATAGATGTCACTGCTACAGATGTCACTGCTACAGATGGTGCTTCTGCTGATTTTGTTGCTACAGATGTTGCTGCTACAACTTCCATTCCAAAAGCAGCAGCTTCAGTCGCCAGCAACACCCCTGCCACCCGCACAGATTTTATCACTGCCAAAGCCACCACCACCACTGCTGCTGCTGCTGCTACAGCCGCCAACACCGCCCCTCGTACAGATGTTATTGTTTCCAAAGCCACCACCACCACTGCTCCTGCTGCTGCCGCCGCCACTGCTACTGCTGCTGCTGCAACAGCAGGTATTACTGCTACAAATGCCACCACCACCACTGCTGCTGCTGGAGATGTCACTGATTCTAAAGCCGCCAACACCACTGCCCCTCATACGGATGTTATTGCTGTTAAAGGTACCACCGCCACTGCTGCTGCTGCTGCTACAAGTGTTGCTCCGAGTAAAGCTGCCACCAATAATAATGCTGCTACAGGTGTTTCGGCTCCAGACATCACACCCACCATAACTCAGGCTCCTCATGGCACTAGGCCAGCCATCCCCCCCGCTACAGCCGCAACCCCCCCGGCTCCCACTCCCCCTGCTACAGCCACCAGGCTCCCTCCTGCTGAAGCCACTGCCCTTGCCACACCTTCCCCCATTATCTCTGCTGCATCTCACACTCTACCTGTTACATCTCCCCACCCCGCTGCTACAGCCGCCTCCATTCCTGCGACAGCTGCTGCTCCCCCTGCTACAACCGCCACTGCCCTTGCTCCATCTATTACTCCCCCTGCTACAGCTACCGTTCCGCCTGCTACGGGAGCCATTGCCCCCGCTACAGCCGCTATTTCCCCTGCGACAACCACCATCTCCCTTGCTACAACTCCCATCAGACTCCCTGCGACAACCCGCACCCCCCCTGCCACATCTCCCGCTGTTCCTGCTACAGCCGCCATCTCCCCTGCTGCTACTCCCATCAGTCTCCCTGCTACAGCTGCCACTCCTGGTGCATCTCCCATTTTTCGGGCTACATCCGTGATTTCCCCTGCTACAACCACCACTGCTCCTGCTACGTCTACCACCAGTCTCCCTGCTGCATCTCCCACTCCCACTCCCCCTGCCACAACTCCTCCTCTTCCCGCTACAGCTGCCAAACCTCCCGCTACAGCCGCCAAATCTCCCGCTACAGCTGCCAAACCTCCAGCTACAGCCGCCAAATCTCCCGCTACAGCCGCCACCTCTCCTGCTACAGCCGCCAGGTTTCCTGCTACAGCCACCACCTCTCCTGGTACAGCAGCAGGCGTACCACAAGGTGAAGGAGTTGCACAAGGGGAAACCACCCTGACAAGATCAGCAGGAGAACCAGCAGTAGCAGCAGCAGCAGCTGAATCAACAGCAGCAGCACCAGCTGTTCGAACAGCGGTGGAACCACCAGCAGCAGCACCGCCGGCAGCAGCAGCAGCAGCAGCAGCTGAATCGACAGCCAATGATTCACGGAAAATCATCCTTTTCCCAGGGAACACGCCTCCTCCTCCCTTCTCACTCCCCTCCTCCTCCGCCCATCCCTCCTCCTCCCACCCTGCCATTTCCACACCCTCTCCTCCTCCTCCGCACGCTCTCCCTCCTCCCGCCGACCCCCCATCTGCCAGACCTTCTCCTGGCCTCTCTTCCCTTGGGACTCTAGAGCTGGCTGCAAAGCAACCAGCACTCCACTTATCCCCGCCTTTGGGTCAAGAGCTGGCTCAAAACCCCCCTGCACTCGACCTGTTCCCCCCGTGCTGCCGCCTCCTTTCCGTGTGGCCATCTCGCTTACTCCTGAGGAGGTAGAGGCGGACTTTCGGGCGATCACAGGTCAACCACCGCCACAACTGCCTCTGAAGAAGCGAAGGTGAGTCGACCTATCCTGATGCTATCCTAACGGGTTCACCGCTCCTCTCCCCTACTATCTCTCCCGGCCCGCCCCCGCGTGTGTCCATCTCTCACTCCTGAGGAGGTAGAGGCAGACTTCAGAGCCATCACAGGGCAAGTGCCGCCACAACTACCCTAAAAGAAGCGAAGGTGCGTGCATGTTCCTTCGGTGAGTCTCTCAGGTGTGCCTTGCCTGCTAGTGTGTGACCATCTCTCTTACTCCTTAGGAGGTAGAGGCAGACTTTTGGATTTCCGGGCGATAACCGGGCAATCACCCAGGAAGCTAATTTCACACTTTCTTACCCTTCCTGCCTTTCCCAATCGCCCCAGAAGTATTAGACAGAGGCAAACGGGTCGACTCAGATGCACCCTCCCTGCCCTTCCCAATTCCCCAGGAAGCTAGAGGTAAACGGGTGGATCGGAGTGGCACCAGCAGGCGCCAACGAACTGCTGCCCCTTGCAGAAGAGCCCTCTGAGGAGCTGCTGACTCAGATGTACCCTCATTTCCCCCTCCCTGCTCTTCCCACTGTGCAGAAAGCTAGAGGCGAATGGGTGGATCGGAGCGGCACCAGCAGGCGCCAACAAACTGCTGCCACTTGCAGAAGAGCCTTGTGAGGAGCTGCCGACTCAGATGTATGCTTACCTCCCTCTTCCTGTCCGTCCCAATTGTGCAGGAAGCTAGAAGCGAATGGGTGGATTGGAGTAGCACCAGCAGGCGCCAACAAACTGCTGCCACTTGCAGAAGAGCCTTCTGAGGAGCTGCCGTCTCAGAGCAACAGCAGCAGGGGCATGGGGCTCCCTCCTGAATTGGTGCGTCCTCTTGACTCGATGCGAGAATCGCCCGGAAATGTCTTGGATGGGCAGGTTGGTCTGGCAGCGCTGCCTTTGGCTGCAGCAGAACGGGGCAACCAAGATGGTCTGTTGTCTACTGATCAGAATGATCGGAATGATAGAAGTGATCAAAATGATCAAAATCATCAAAATGATCGAAATGATCGAAATGATCGAAATGATCAAAATGATCGAAACGGTGTGTCGTGCAAAGAGAGGGAGAGCGGCTGGCAGGGTTCGAACCCACTCTTGTCCCTCCCTTTGTCGCTGCTCCATCCTACCTTAAAGCCCCCGGTTCCCAAGCATCACCATCACCATCAGCAGCAGGAGCAGGAGCATGAGCGTGGGATTGGGGAGGCTAGAATGGCTGCTTTGACAGCAGTGGAGGCAGGAGCAGCTCGAGAGGATAAGGCACGAGGAGCGGTAGGCTTTTTTGCCGCCGCCGCCGCTGCTGCTGCTGCTGCTGCTGCTGCTCCTCCTGCTCCTGGTGCTGCTTCTGGTGGTTTTGCTTCCACGGCTGTAGTTGGAATGCAGATTGATAGTATTGGGAGGGCTACTGTAGGGGATATTGAGGAGGGGGGTATGTCTAGCGTGTTGCCTGGTGTGGAGGCAGCTTATAGCGAGGATATGAAGAGGGGGCTAGAACCAGATTTTAGGAGGACTAATGGGGGCGGTATGAAGGGGGGAGGAGAAGGGGAGGATGTGGGATTCGTAGCAGGAGGAGTGGGGAAGAGAGACAAGGAAGTGGAAGGGGTTGGCGGTGGGAGGAAGGAGAAGGAGGGGAGGAAGAAGAAGAAGAAGCATGAGAGGGATCGGGAGGGGAGAGGGGAGGGGAAAGGGGAGGAGAAGAGTGAGGGGAGGAAGGAAGGGAAAGGGGAGAGCAAGAGGGAAGGGAAGCATGAAAGGGATGAGAAGAGGGAAAGGAAAATGAAGAAGCATGGGAGAGTGGAGGGAGGGGAAGAGAGGATGGAGGGTAGGGTGGTTGTGGAGGAGGGGAGGGTGAGGATAGCAGGGGCAGGAGCAGGAGTAGGAGCAGCAGCAGGAGGAGCAGGAGTAGGTGAAGGTGCTTGTGTAGCAGCAGGAGTGACGGGAAGTGTGGCATCAGGGGATCAACAACGAAGGGAGGTGGAGAAGGAGAGAGGAGAGAAAGAGAGGAAGAGGGACAAGGAGAGGAAGGAGAGGGAGCGCGAGGAGGAGAGGGAGCGCGAGAAGGAAAGGGGAGAGAAGGAGAGGGCGCGCGAGAAGGAGAAGGCTAAACAGACGGGGATTGTGAGCGAGATGGAGAAGGAAAAAGAGGAGGTAAGAGAGAAGGAGAAGGAGAGAGAGCGGGAGAAACGGCTAGTGGATGTGGGGCTTTGTGCTGTGCTTGCCAAACGGCCGCCAGGAAGACAATCAGAGTTTGGGGAGGGGGAGGGGGATGAGGAGCGGAGGAGAGGAGGAGCGAAGGAGCAGGGGGCAGAGGAAGCAAGAAGAGATGGGACAGGGGAGGTAGAGGAGGGGGGTGGAGATGCTTGGGGACAGGAGAGGGAGAGAGAAGGTGGAGAGGAGGAGAAGACTGAGAGGGGGAAGGGTAAGAGAGAGGAAGTGAAGGAAGAGGAGGAAAGGGAGGAAGGGAAGGGGAGGAGGGACGATGATGCTAGTTCGGATGAGGATTTCCCGGGGGATTACCGGGAAGGGCAGGCTCGGATGAGGCGGAAAGAGGCTCGGAAACGGCGGAGGAGGTTCGGGGAATATGGCAATGGAGAGGAGGAAGAGGAGGAGGAGGACGACGAGGACGAGGTGGACGGGATGGATGGGATGGGGATGGGAGAGGAGGAGGGACAGGGGGGAGGTGCAGGGATGGGTGGATTGTTAGGGTCTGCGTGGTTCTTAGGAGTAGCAGCCGGGGGACTAGGAGCAACAGGAATAGGAGCATCTGCGAATTCTTCCCCCTCTGCTACTGCTGCAGCAGCAGGAGCAGCAGGGGGAGCAGCACTGGGAGGGGCGCCAGGGTCAGTGCCAAAGAGAAGGCGAAGCTCGAGAATAGCAGAGAGGGTGGAGAAGCGCACCTGGCGATCCATGGATCTCGGATGGGTGGCTGGTGCTGCTGCTGCCGCTGCTGCTGCCGCTGCCACTGCCGCCGCTGCTTCTGCCGGTGCTGGTGCTGGTGGCGGGCATAATGCGAGTTCTAGGGGCGGGAGGAAAGGAGCAGGGGTGGGAGTGCCTGGGTTCCGGCATCCGGGGGTGCCGGGAGTGATGGTGATGATCCCGCCTGCGGAAATCGTATCGGATTTTGTACAGATCACGGGGAATCCGCCGCCGCCGCCCAAGAAGGGGTACCGCTACTGGCGGAACTTCATTCCTTTTCAGGTGCGGTTATGCCCGAGCCTCACTTGCCAACACTCCTTACCAGGTATGGTTATGCTTGAGCTTCGCCTGCTGGAACTTCATCCCTTTACAGGTACTGTGCATGGCTGGGGTACTGTGCATATCTTCGGGTTGATGCAAAGAACTTTGTTCCTTTCCAGGTACTGTGCTCTCCAGGCACGGTTGTGCTCAAGCCTCACATGCTGATGTTCCTTTCCAGGCTTGGCGCAACGGTTCCCCTTTCTGTACCATTATCCTAAAATTCCATGATGTCCGTCCTTTTTCCCCACCCTCCCCCCTCTCTCCTCCTTCCCCCCCCCCCCCCCCCCCCCCCCCTTTCTCCCCTCCTCTCCCTGCTATCATCAGTGCTTGGATGGCCTGCCCAAGGGACATGACTGGGCTAAGGGCTACCCCTGGCCGCTTGTGCCCAAACCATGAACTGCGTTATGCTGAGTGGTGACCTTGTTGTTGCCATCATGGGCTTGATTTCCCCGTCGTTTTTTAGTCACTCAGATGTGGTTGGAGCTTTCTCTTATAAATGGGTTGTATGTTTAGACCTCGAGTGGTATTTGTTTTACACAGTTGAATGAGGGTTATTGTGATGAAGCGCAAAGGTTGTGTGTCGAAGGATTGATTAACGAGGAAACTATACAACTGAGGTAACATCAAAACAGCAGGGAGCATGGATATAGCTAGCCTAGAGCACACGGTCGTGGCTCGGCAGAGCTGCGAGTCTGCGACGTGTGGCTCGTAAATTGGCGTGAAGCGCTCAGATCTAGGCATGCCACAGCAAGGCGGGCAACAATGCATGTGGCTCGTCAGGAGGCCACATTTGGAGCTGAGATTTGAATTTCGTGGCAGAGCTGCGCGGTGGCAACCCCGTTATAGCAGTGTAGGCCTTTCTGACTGAAACCTGTGATAAGGAAATACCATTTCCTTACAGTTATGAATCTTTCCGAGTTATGCAGAGTTTTACGTTATCGAAGAATGTTTCTGCGATGATCGCGACGACTCTGGCGAGGACTCTGTAACCAAGGTGACTCGGCGATTCAGTGGCTTAATGTCGCGCCCTCAGCGACTGTTATCCCCCTTTCGTTAGGCGCTCGCGAAACAGAATCGCGTCAACCCCAAGGTGGCTGCGCGCGATCAGTTCATATTTCGCCTGTCTGCTTCCCCCTCCCCCCATCCCCCCGTTCCCCCACCCCCTCCGCAACCTGCGCGTATCCCCTATCCCCCCACCTCCCCCCGCCCCCCCCTCCCTGTCTCCCCATTCTGCGCGGTATTCCCTACGTCCCCCGAACCGACCCATACAAGACTCGCAGCCATCAAAATCAGATTCCCCTTTCTAGACTGGCTCCTGATCAGGCTCTTACCATTTTGTCAGGTTAGTGGTAGCCTGTGTTGGCCTGTCTTATCGTTCTTTGGCGTGTGCTGCTAGTCTTTATTGGCAGCCTTGCGAAACCACCGAGTCGGCCTTTGATCGTTGCAGTGTCTGGTTAATCGCCGAGCCAGCTTCTCTTCCTCGCCTCGCGTTCTTTAGCTTCAGGGTACTGGTTACGCAACCCCGTTTCACTGACACGTCAAAATGAGTCCGAATGACGTGGCCGAGAAGCTGGCTGACTCCTCGCTGACGGACAACCCGCCAGCTGCCGACGCTGCTGCTTCCGCGAAACCCGCTAAAGCGAAGGTTGGCGACAAGGGCGCAGACAAAGCCGCCGCTGCTGCGGCTGCCGCGGCGAAAGAAGCGGCGAAGATCGCGCCGGAAATCCAGGCGTTCTTTAAGCGGAGGATCGAGATGTTCGAGGCGCTTCAGAAGGAGCAGGCCGCGGCGCGAGAGAAGATCGCGGGTGATCCAATCAAGTAAGATCGCTGCGTGACTGGATTCGGGTTTCCGCGTAGGTCGGAGGAATATGCAGGGTGGTAGACGTTCCGAAGGAGCGGGCCGCGGCGAGACAGAAGATTGCTGGCGATCCGATCAAGTAAGCTCGCAGCGTGACTAGCGTTGGGTGAGACATAGGCCGGAGGAGAATGCAAGGTGGTAGCGATTCAGGTGGTGGCGATTGACAGAGTGGAGAAGTGAATCTGCGACAACTGGCTTGCTCGCAACGTTAGCCGGCTGTAACCAGTCCGTTTTCGCGAATATTCGCGACATTGGTGTAATATCTCGAAGGGCGAATGGGAACCAGTAGCTCAGGCTTCGCGTATATCTAGCGCTGCGTTGGGGTAATTTTTGGGTCTTTTTGGGATCAACAATGCTGAGGGGGGTCCTTGAGTGATGTTTCTTGTGTCGGAGGGTTTAAGGCGTTCCGTTTAGTAACCAGGACCGTCTCGTTTTCCCCCCGTTTGTGTCACATTCGCCAGGATCACTCTGCCCGACGGTGCTGTGAAGGAGGGCAAGAAGTGGGAAACCTCCCCCATGGACGTCGCCAAGGGCATCTCGCAGGGGCTGGCCAACAGCGCCATTATTTCTAAGGTGAGAGGAGACGGGGTTCGACCTCTGAGTTGACCGTTGGCGGTGCTGTGAAGGAGGGCAAGAAGTGGGCCACCTCCCCCATGGATGTCGCTAAGGGGATTCTCCAGGGGCTTGCCAACAGCGCCATTGTTCCTTAGGTGAACAGGTTTATAGAGTTCACTCTAGAATGATCTTCTGAGTTGACTCAGAATCAGGCTCGCGGGGGACGGTGCTGTGAAGGAGGGCAAGAGGTGGGCCACCTCCCCCATGGATGTCGGCAAAGGGATCTCGCAGGGGCTGGCCAACAGCGCCATTACTTCCAAGGTGTGTAGGCTTGGGAGTTGAGTATAAAGCAGAAGTGACTGTGCTGTGGAGGAGGGCGAGAAGTCGGAAACCTCCCCCATGCATGTCGCTAAGTGCATCTCGCAGGGGCTGGCCAACAGCGCCGTCATTTCCAAGGTGCCGTGTTCTCTATTCTCTCCCTAGTAGATTGTTTTTTATGCCAGCTGATGAAGTGTACTTTCCTCTATTTGTTTCTTATCCAAGCGGGCCACCTTCCCCATGGATGTCGCCAAGGGCATTCCACAAGGCCTTGGCAACATTGCCATCATCTCCACGTGTGGAGGAATCAAGATACTCCCTCGTTTGGATGATCAAGCCAGCCGTTTTCTTTGCCCCGTCCCTTCAGGCCGGCGGCGTTGTGTGGGATATGTGCCGTCCGTCCCTTGGAAGGAGACTGCTCGCTACAGCTGTTCACGTGTGGAGGATACTCCCTCATAGCAAATCATATGATCGAACGAGCTGTTTTCCTGTCCCTTCCCTTCAGGTCGATGGCGTGTTGTGGGACATGTGCCGGCCCTTGGAGGGAGACTGCTCGCTGCAGCTGTTCACTTTTGAGGATGATGAGGGCCGGGACACCTTCTGGCACTCCAGCGCTCACATCCTCGGAGAGGTACGCGTTATAAGCATTTTCAGGTTATCTGGGCTGCGGACGGATCCTTCTTTTGAATCCACCCTCTCTGTTTTTCTGCCGTATGAAATAACGCATTTTTTATATTGTCCCTGTTTATTTCGTTTCGACAGGCTCTGGAGCAGGAGTACGGATGCCACCTCTGCATTGGGCCGTGCACCACTCGAGGAGAGGTGAGGGGGGAGCGATGGAGGGTGGGGGAGTGAGGCATGGAAGAAAGGTGGGGAACAGAAGGGCAGGAGAGGCGACGGGTGGATGGGACGGGAAGGGAAGGAAGGAGAGGGAGCACGGGTGCCGCTTCTGTATTTGGCGCCGTGCACCAGTCGAGGAGAGGTGAGGGGCGAGAGAGGGGGAATAGGGAAGGGGGTGGTGGGAGGGGTAAGGGAGGGAGAGGGAGAGTGAGAGATGGATATGTAGTGGTGGATCTGCTTCGCACTCTGCGGCGATTGGCCGCTGAACGGCGATTGGCTGCTGAACGGCGAGCACTCTCATTCGCTCACCTCCCGCACACTAGGGTTGTATTCCCTCCCCTTCCCCCCTTTCCCCTCCACCATGACAGAGTTTCTACTACGATGCCTTCCATTCCATGCTGAACGACGAGCACTTCCAAGGCTATAGAGGCCAGGGCGGGCAAGGCTGCTATCAATTGGGGCAGGGGTTATGTGGTTCCATCCGTCCCTCTACTCCAGGGTTCCTTCTACGATGCATTCCACGGTGATCGCACGCTGAACGCCGAGCACTTCAAGGCCATTGAGGCCAAGGCGGGCAAGGCTGACGTGGTACTAGTTCTCCCCCCTCTCCTCAACCTCCCCCCATGACAGGGCTTCTACTACGATGCATTCTATGGCGATCGCACGCTCAACGGCGAGCACTTCAAGGCTATACAAGCCAAGGCTGGCAAGGCTGCTATCAATGGGGGCAGGGCTTATGTGGTTCCATTCCCCCCTCTACTCCAGGGTTTCTATTATGACGCGTTTTACACGTGTGTAATGAGTCGATTTTTGAGTCGACTAAAAAATCGACTCATTACACACGGAGTCGACTCATAACACACGGATCATGCGCTGAACGATGAGCACTTCAAGGCCATTGAGGCCAAGGCGGGCAAGGCTTATGTAGTTTCTTCCCCCTCCCCCCCCTTCCCCTCCCCATAACAGGGTTTCTACTACGATGCCTTCTACGGTGACCGCACGTTGAATGATGAGCACTTCAAGGCCATTGAATCCAAGGCGGGCAAGGCTGCGAAGGAGAAGCAGGCATTCGAACGCATCGAAGTCACGAGGCAGCAGGCGCTGGAGATGTTTGCTGATAACCCGTTCAAGGTGAGATGATATGTGGCTAACAGGCCGATGATAAGCGGTTAAGAGGCAAATGATAGCCTGTTGAGTAAGGTCAAGGGCCAAGGCGGGCAAGGCTGTGAAGGAGAAGCAGGTATTTGAGCGCATCGAAGTGACATGACAGCAGGCGCTGGAGATGTTCGCTGATAACCCGTTCAAGGTGAGATGATAACCCGTTAACAGTCAGATGATAACCTATTGAGAGTGGTGAGGCGAGCAAGGCTGCGAAGGAGAAGCAGGCGTTTGAGCGCATCAAAGTGTTGTGGCGGCAGGCGCTGGAGATGTTTGCTGATAACCCGTTCAAGGTGAGGTGATAGGCTGTTCAAGGTGAGTGGATAAACGCTTGACAGTCAAATGATAACCTATCCAGTGTTGGCAGTCAAGGCAATGTGGGCAGCCAAGGCTGCCACGTTTGAGCGGATTGAGGTCACGACTCACGCGGCAGCAGGCGCTGGAGATGTTTGCTGATAACCCCTTCACGGTGAGGTGATAACCCGTTCAAGGTGAGATGATAAGTCATTAACAGCCAGATGATAGCCCATTGAGAGGGGTGAGGTGGGCAAGGCTGTGAAGGAGAGGCAGTCGTATCAAGGTCACGCAGCAACAGGCGCTGGAGATGTTCGCTGATAACCCGTTCAAGGTGAACCGCTAACAGTCCGATGATAGCCTACCAAGAGTGGTGAGATGGGCAACGCTGCGGAGGAGAAGCAGGCGCTTGAGAGGATCGAGGTCACGAGGCAGCAGGCGCTGATGTTTGCTGATAACCGTTCACGGTGAGTTGATAAGATCGTAAACTATAAAAGAGCTTCCTATCTGTGCATCGCTTGCTCGCATGTGCTGTCCCATGGAGTAAACCCTCGTCTTCAAGCCGTTCATATCCGCCC